TGATAAAAATGAAAGCCAAAAAGAAATAAGAAATAGTAAGTAGTAATTAGAATACCCTTATCTAATACGTTCGACTTGTTATTCAAGTGTCTAATATCTAAATCAATTTATTAGGCCCTTTAGTTGTAATATCAATTCCAAGGTAGACATGAAAAAACTAATAACATTTTGATGTTCCACTTACTAATAAACATTTTACTATAGCGCGATAGATTTGGAATTTCTATTACCTAAGAGGTGGGCATTAAGAGACAATCAAACGTTAGGCAACAGAGGTAGTGGTACTAGAATCAAAAAACACATAAAATCTATGTTAGAATGCTTTTTTTTAAATGGGAATCGAGAAAATACGGATAGAATGGATGCACAGGCCATGCATAACGAACTCCTGGAATACGTCGAAGCTGGTGATATAGAAGAGGAGGATGTTCCAAAAATTTCTACGATTCAGAATTGGATAAACACATATGCTCGTGCTTTTAAGCGAAGAGCAGCAATTGAGTCAGATAATAGTGCTTAGTTGAAAATAATTGCCTTCGTTTTGTATCTTGAGATTTAAATAAAGTATCAAATATTGATTAGTGTTTATAATATAAAATAAAATTTCAAATGTCAATAAAATTAAAATTATAACTGCCTTTTTATCATAATAATTCATGATAGAATCGCCCAGATGAGTCCTTTATAAGAAAAAAAAAAGTTTTAATAGCAATAGCGAGAATCAAACATAAATTACTCGCAAACTTACATTCCGTTCTATCAAGTTCATCGCATTTAACATAAGTTAAACACTATACACATTTCTTTCTTCAAAAGATCTCAGCAAGAAAGTGGAAATTGTTGTTATACGGGAAGATCTACTTCAACAAGATATAAAACAGGTAGAAATTGCCGTCATACAGGAAGATCTACTTCAACAAGAGATAAAGCGGGTGAAAATTGCTGTTATACAGATACACAGTCATATACTGTATATAAGAAAAAATGCTGGTAAATGCAAATTAGCATTGTTCTTGCTGTAAAATAATCTCAAGAGCCAAAAGTATTTATAAATTTGGCCATGGGATGAGCTAAAAATGAATTATACTAAATACCTTATAGATCTAATTAATATAATTATCTCGAAATACTACATAGTAAATGCCACATGCATACAAAGTAAAGTCTGGCAGGAAAAAGTATTCAAATATAACGACCTTATAATTAAAAACTAGTGGTGTCGTTTTATTATTTGTGCTACTTTAATACAAGATTGGATATAAAATTTATTGACCTTGCTTATAACCTGAAAATTTCAATACGAATACCTCGTATATGTGATCTGCATCACATCGTCATATTAAAATTCTCCGATTTACTGGCAGATTATCAATTAAAGTATATGCTTTATTAAAATTAGAAGATATGCAAGATACCTTTACAAATGCTAAATGTGTTATGCTTTTATACTATTTTCAAATCTGCTAATTCTATTGAATATGCTAAATCTTCTATGCCTACTATGTCTACTACTTCTACTTCATCTTCTATATCTAATGTACCTTCCCGATCTACTAAATCTGCTAATATTATCCAATTTGGACATATGCATTCCCAAACAAATATGTACCCAATCTGTCCAAATGCAGTTATAATTATTGATCCTTTTTGCAGTCATTACACTAGATATATTTTCTTTAAAAATTTGCTATTGGCATTTAATATTATTGGTATGCATAATTTTTAATTAGTTTGATCTTTTGTTTACCTAGTTATAGTTATCTCTTGGCTATAATTTATTTAATAATGTGATATTCCAAGTCTGTTAAACTTTTGAACATATTAGTATAGATTGTCGAGTCTGGGTAAATATATTTTTAAATTAAGTTTATTAGCATTTTAGCTATTTTGTCTAATACTACTTCTGCAAAAAATTCTTTTATATTTTAGAATATTCCTTCAAATATTTATACTTTATTGGTTTTGTTATTTTTTTTAGTTTTTGTAGAATATTAATTTGTTATATTCTGCAATATTATCTTTTTTATCTATCTTGGTTTCACATTCTTTTATTTCTTAAGTTATGCATAATTTAAATATTTTGGTCCAATATATTATAGTTGATAATATTATATTTATTATTGTATAAATTTGTTTTCTTCTTAGTT